GTAAAAATTAAAACTTGTCAATAATCATTGCTTTTGTTACAGCAACAATTTGACAAGCACAGTTTTCCATTTTCTTCTCTTCATCGGCTCCCATGAGACCTCTGTCCCACTCCGTTTCACACTAGTTTCTGTCAATGGTTCGAAGTAGGGCTGTGCAATTAATCGAAATCGTCATAAAATCGCGATTTGAGCGTGCGTGATTTCTAAATCGCTTTATAGCACGATTTTCCGCACCCCGACTGCCCGCAGTATGCTATCCGAACCAATCAGAGTGCAGCATGCCTCAATATAGCACGAGAACGTGCGTATTTTTTCTGCGCCCATGTTAACGGATCAGAGCGTTCACACTGCACACGATTGCGCTCCGGCAGTGCGCTCCAGGAGAGGTGCGTCAGTCATGCTGCAATCGTTTCCGCACAGAGTCTATTTCTGCTGTGCTGCATGCGCTGAAAGTGACAGCACATTATTCGCAGTAAAAAAATAACATGGATTGGCACGGAAATTTCTGCTTCTGCATTGCATACACGTACTGTATATGCACTGCAGACGGGAGTACGTGTGAACTTGGCACAACAAATCTAGTTCAACAATTGAGGCAATGCCACAAAGAGCTCTATGGCCAATGCATGGCAAAAATGTATTTAATTTTTTTCTGCATTGTCTATTCTAGAGACATTTTGTTACACCTTTAATTAGTGATTATTTTGCCTTATGTCTGTTCTAGAGACATGCTACAGCTTTTTATTAAAGCTCTAACTGGTTTTCTTTTGGAAATATGTTTCAAATTCACATTGAATGCATTTATGACTGTAAAGCATGTCTGTGTGTGTCAAAATCGTGATGAAAATCGAAATCGCAAAATTGATCAAAGAAATCGCGATTTTATTTTGTCCATATCGCACAGCCCTAGTTCGAAGGCTTTGGGTCTGACTCTGTTAAGTAATTGTTTTTCTTTGATATTGGATCTTCAGCTTTGGCTGTGATGCATTATTGGCCTGTATGTATGGGACAATTTGGATTTGTAGGAATTGTGTAGACAAAGATCAACCAAAATCTGATCTGCCTTTCAGAGACCAACCCATAGAAGCTTTTATTCTGCTGAGCAGTTTGTTTTCTCTCGGAAGTCTTGTTGGTGGACCGTTTCCACATTGTGTCTCTAGAGAAAAATACCTTAAAGTTCCGTTCCAGTGGCCTTTTCTCTAGGACTATGCTAGAATATCAATCCATCTCCAATCCCAACTGTGTTTCCTTGCACATTTCTATCTTAATTTACTTGATGTTAGTGTTTTTTTTTATAGTAAAGCTGTAGGTGACACATAAAGGGTTCTAGAGTATGACCTCAAACTCCAGAGATGAAATAAAAACAATCACCAGAGTCCACATGGGAGTTTATTGACACAACATGACTGTGCTTAGCATAGAACCAAACTCTTATATTTAGAACATTTGGTAATTATCTTTGAGTGAGAATAGGCCAAAAAAAAAACCGTATAAGGAAATACACCCTGTTGGCACATATATTGTGTTTCCTTCATTTGGTGAATGCTTATTTGGGGATTTAGCTGTGCTGCAATGCCCTACATCACTGTTTGTATGTTAGTAGGAATTCATTATTAACACAGAACTTTACTGAAGACATGGGGCTGGACATTTAATGATTTTTGTAGCATTATTTTTTAAATGCATTATTTAGTAGTTATTGGTGTTAATAAAAATTATTATTGGTTGACCTTTTCTCTAAATGATTAGGTATAAGGGTTAAATCATGTTCTAGATTGTAGCTTTGTTACAGGTTTATAAATAACTTGAAGTCATATTTTCCTCTAACCTCCACTTATCATGCTCATCTTTATGCCAAAAGCAGCCATAATTTAGTTTAGCTTTTTTCGTCTTCTCTTTCTCACAGAGTTAATTCACTTGTCAAATGTGAACTAAGACCCATGTCTTCAATGATTCCAACTCAAAATCACAGATCTGGATGTGAAACATACACACTTCTCCTCTTAAAATAGCACATAGTAGAGTTCATCCTCAGGGCTGTATGTAACTGCCTCGACATGAAGCAAAGCCTTTCACGGCATCAGAGACACTATGAAGGCAATATTCTCCAGAATGCTCAAATTAAACTATGCAGCCATGGGTATTGAAATCATGTGGCTTGAAGGGTTAAAGAAAGAATACAAATTTCATTATACATATAAATGCATGTTACAGATCTTATTGGAATCAATCCATTAATATGTTTCTTTTTAACTTTATTGTGTGCATTTATATTTAAGCAAAATGCCATCTGGAGAAAATCACCCTGATCACCACCTTTTTTTCTCTCAATAACCTGAATGTACTCCTGAACCTACATCACAATACAGAAAAGATCTGTTGCTACTTCTGTTTTATTGTGACTTTAAAACTAGATTTGTCATTAAATTTTTGAAGGGCAAGTAACTGGTACAAATGTATTTCGCTTGATGAAATTACACAATTGCAAGACACCTATATTATTTGAATGCATAAGGTTTCATGACGTCACATCAAAGAATTTAAAATTGGGAGTTTGGTGACTTTTAGTCCATATACCTGTAGCATTGATGACTTTTAAACTAAGATCTAACCTGAAGCTAAATTGGTGAATTGTGCTCTCATGGTCATCCTTGTTTACAAATGTATTATCGCACTAAACTTAATTCTCTCTCTCTCTCTCTCTCTCTCTCTCTCTCTCTCTCTCTCCGACTGCTCTTTTTTTCCATTCATGTATCATTATCTGAGTTATGTATGTTTACAAGCCGCCGCCGCCTCCTCCAAATCCTTAACTTTCAACCGTTTTTACAGTAACCAGAATAATTTATAAAACTAGCTAGATTGTGAATTGCATTATCAGTGTAACATCCTCATGACCATCCTGGTCTGCCCCTGCTTCCTCTCAATGTTGTCCGTTTCATTAATGTGCCTGTAATCAGCAGTACAGTTAAACGTAGGTTCAGAGTTGATTTTAACGGGTGAAGTGTGTAATTCACATGCCTCAAAATAACAGGTGAAAATATTAGTGGTTTTGGCAGTTTTTGTTATTTTGTCATTTATGCGACTTCCTCAAAAGCACAGCAGTGAGGGACATATCACCCTTGTGTGAGTTAGCATCACCCTTGTGCCTTTGACAACAACCCTAACAGGATTTTTTAATTGGATTTTGAATTACTGCAGAAAGTAAGCTCGGTGACCAACAAAAGTTTATGATTCTTAAACGTTTTGTTTATCATGGTTATCTTCACAAATGAACACAACGTTCATGAATTTTGAAGCCTAATTACATTCATCAGAAGTACACCAAGTTAACCATAATCACATGACTTCAGTGTCACCACCCTAGCCTCTGACAACTGTCTTTATTTAAAAATAAAAAAACTAGTGAGTAGATGAGTTCACTTGTGTTAAGTGATTGTTTAATGCTCCCAACAGCCTCTGTAGTCCCATTTAGTCACTTTTTTGTAGCAACCACATTTTTCAAGCCAAATACAAGCTCTAAAAGTCACAAGGTGGATGTATTTTTTCATAGAATAAAATTTGAAAATATCTTGAGCTTGCGTTAGCCACAGACCTTATTTCAGACATTTAACCCAAAACCCATTCAAAGACCCTTTGACTTTGGGAAGATGAAACCGGCTTACAGAAATACATTCCTGCAGCGAGCTATTGACTGCCAAGAGACTCAAAGAAACCTCCTGGTGGCAATCGTTTCACCTCTCCTCCTTTGCCATTAGGTGAATTCCTTCTCCATCCTCTAAAACCATGGAGAATTAGTTCTTCCTCTACTTTGTACAATTCTAGAAGCCAAGTTTGTGTAAGAGGTCACCCTACATTCCCACGTGGCAGTAAAAGAGTGCTCTTATGTGTAGAAGGGCGGGAAAAGAAACAGAAGGAAGGTTTGTTTAGCAGCGGCGCTCGGAGAGCCAGAGTCCGTGCAGCCATGTTTGCCAAAGCCCTGTAATATTATTTTGTCCTCCTGAAACAGGCGTCATGTTGCCCATCATGTTAGGCCAGCACCATGAACACTAACCTCCCAGTTTTGAACATGGCACAGATGTGGTTTGTTTATTGTTCAGTCCTGTGTGGAGTTTATTTGATCTTGTTGTTTTTTCACTTTTACTGCTTACGGATCTGTTCACTACTAATGCAGAAAACAACACGAGCAGCAGAGGCAAGTGTCAAAATACATTTATGGTAAATAAAGCAAATTGAGAGAATTGAACATTTTCTAGAACGTTATTTTTAAGAGCACAGTTCTCCAATGGGTAAGAAAAACAGATTAATGTATATTGTTTAGTCGGTCCTGATGAAGTTCCGAAATATTTTCACCAGCGGTGCAGCCATGTTTGCCAAAGCCCTGTAATATTATTTTGTCCTCCTGAAACAGGCGTCATGTTGCCCATCATGTTAGGCCAGCACCATGAACACTAACCTCCCAGTTTTGAACATGGCACAGATGTGGTTTGTTTATTGTTCAGTCCTGTGTGGAGTTTATTTGATCTTGTTGTTTTTTCACTTTTACTGCTTACGGATCTGTTCACTACTAATGCAGAAAACAACACGAGCAGCAGAGGCAAGTGTCAAAATACATTTATGGTAAATAAAGCAAATTGAGAAAATTGAACATTTTCTAGAACGTTATTTTTAAGAGCACAGTTCTCCAATGGGTAAGAAAAACAGATTAATGTATATTGTTTAGTCGGTCCTGATGAAGTTCCGAAATATTTTCACCAGCATCTGACTGTTTTGTTTCTGTGGTATTATCTCAATCAGTGAATCTGAGGTTTTCTAGATTTCTAGAAAATTTCCATCCATCTTTCAATTCCAACTAAACTTGAACGTTAAAATTAAATGTAATGATTTGAATATTCAATATTAGAAGGCATTAGGACACAATGGCTTCTGTGAAGTAACAAAGCCTTTTTTCTTTGCAACATGATTATGGGTAAGTTACATTTGTATTCTTGTGCCCTTTGTAGGAGTGAGAAACTGTATGTGGAGAAATACTGGAAAGAGGTGCGGGTCGGAGACTTCATTCGTCTGCGCTGCAACGAGATCCTGCCGGCGGATGTTCTGCTGCTCAGCAGCAGCGACCCTGACCGCCTGTGTCACATTGAGACGGCCACACTGGATGGTGAAACCAACCTCAAGCAGAGGCAGGTGGTGCGCAGCTTTATCGACCTGGTGAGTGTTCAGGACTGGGGTGTGTTTGTTGTGAAATAAGTTGAGTAAAGAACTGAGTAGAAGCATGCTGGTGTCAAGAACAGTTAATGTGATAGTGTGTGTATTCAGATGGTCTGTGCTTGCCCACTGAGATAACTTTAGTCATTTCACACCACTCACCAAAATCAAATATTAATTTCCCCTCACTGCTGCTCACCCTTTATGTGTTGCGTCTCAAGATGGCAATAAGAGAGTTGATCTGAACAGTTTGACAACAAAAACCGAATGTTAAAGAGTGGTGTAGCCAAAAAATAGTGAATCTCGGAAAAAGTTCCTTTTGCTATTGATTCATAAAAAAAAATTAGTTAATAAATTGTGTGCCCTATATATTCAGAGTCTTCCAAAATCATAAAAAGATTTGAATGAGGAATAAACTGAAATTTTGAAACATGAGATTGATGACAGGCTTTTAATTGTTGGGTGAAATGTCTATTAATAATTTAATTTTAAATGTTTAAATGTATTTATATGTTCAGATCCCAAATTGCACATTTGTTTATCATTTGCAGGACTGTGAGTTTGACCCATTAAAATACAACGGTGTTATTGAATGTGAGAAGCCCAACAATGACCTCAACAGATTTCGTGGATACATGTAAGTATAATGCATTTATGTATTTTAAGTGCATTTACATTATTGCTTAGTTTATGGCCCAACCTAATCATGATTAATGGCATTAATCATTATTAATTCCAAAGAAATTTCATAGCTTTTCACTCTTAAAATCTTCACTTGATTAAATCGCTGTATTGTGAATTAGTTTGACCCTATATGTATAGCTAATAACGTAATATCCCATCTGGAAATTTGTACGCCTTCATTATATTCAATGATCTTCATTTCTATAAACCATTTAGACAAAACAGATCTTTCCACGGTTTTGTTTTGCCGGAAGTGATTAAAATTCCATTAGCTGCCGAGATTCAAATAACGGGATGAATGGTTATTTTGTGACCCACATAGATCCAGTTAAATATTTTTAATGGAGAGGCAGTGTGTATTTCTCTTACTCCAGCATTATTCTGGTGACTTTTCAACCCTGTTATTCTACCTAATTATTCTACTGTACCTTATACCATCTCTCACCAGCAGTGTTCTCTGCTGGAGTATAGGAATGGGTCTTTGTTTGTAAGTGTTAGGGTTGGAAGATGGAAGGAGGCTATAAATTATGCTGCCATGCTGCTGCCGAAGTATGTGGAATGTTTTCCACCTTTGTTGTAAGATGGTGTGTTTAGATGCCAAATGTATTTTCTAAGGGCCAGAGGGCAAAAATGTGTGATCCTTGCTTATATTATTATTCATATTATTGACCGTAACAATAATTGATGCCATATTTTACTAAGTGTTACTATAGACACTTTTCTAAATATATCAACAAAAATACAGTAATACAATACAGTAACAATTTCCCCTCACCACTGTTTCTAACGTCTCCTTGCTATATCAGTAAATATTAGGGGTGCCCCCTAATAGTCAACTAATCGTTCACTTACGCTCACTTACTCCTGAAATACTCCCTCATTTTTGGTCACACAGATAAGAGTAATACAGCTTACGAATCTGTAAAGACTCGAACGCGCTTTTGTAAAATAATGAAAGCAAACAGGGTGTGCTTTCTGCCGTCTCGGTCTCTGTGAACTTGAGCGCAAAACTCAAGTGTATGTTTGCCTTACAGACATAAAAATATATATCTATAGAGAGTGAAATGTCTACTTTCAAATGAACCAGTTCAAATGGAAAACAGATATTCTCAGATTATGTAATCAGTATGGAAAATGCATACAGGCTCATTACTACTGCGGAGATGACGAGTCAGTGTCACCGAGTTCATCTCTTAAACCAAGAACAAAGAAAGCACTAGGCCTAGTTTATCAGTGAATTATTAAAATGTTAATGCAGCCTCCTTGCTGTTTTTCCCTGACACATTTATAATCATTAGCTTCTGCACTTAAAATGAATGACTACTAGTCGACCTAGTAAATATACAAATTTTTATGACGACAAAATCCATGAAATAAAAGTAAGTATATAGTATTCTCACTTTTTAAAAAGGCTTGTTAATCTGGTATTTAGACTTTCAAAGTGTGGATTAAGGTTGTACTGTGTTTATTTTGCAGTCTTAAAGTCTTAAATGGTGGCTAACGCATACAGGTCAAAGGCTTGAGATTAACATGCATACTATATTTGAGCAGACTGCTGTAGCAGTAGTAAAACAACTGGGCTGTGTAGGTTGAAGTATATCTCCTGTGTTTAGATGAAAATCTGCTGCACATGGTATGGTAATGACAAGCAGGCCAGTGAGTCAGCTGACAGGAGCCAGAAGGATTATGACATTTATTTCCCTGGATGATGGAGAACAGATGCTTCTGCTGTGGTGCCAGCATTTTTTATTTTTTTGTCAAAGGGGCTTACCGGAGCAAAAGGGGGTACATATTGCACGGTGGGCGCCAAGGACTGTGTCTTGTTGGAGCGACAGCTTATTGCATTAAGATATCATCCCAGCTGGCGAATATGTGCAGTGCAGGCTAAGGAGATGATACCTGGAGGGCATGGGCATGTTGTTTTGGTCCAGTCACCTTAATGGTAAATATTATGTAACTAATATGCCCTTCAAGTGGAGTCAAAAATATCGTCATTTTGAGCAAATGGGTGACCAAGCAGATTTGTATTTACAAGTAGGAAACTTGGAATGATTTTGCAAGTTAGTTTAATTTTACATGATGTCATTTTCATCATTTTTAATTCAGTTACAGTTATTTGAGGTTCTTGTTCACAATATAATTATTTTGTTTTGTTTAGGCAACTTCTGTGTTGTGTGTTTTGAATGCGTGACATGTATCATAATAACAAATGCCTGACTCTGAGATACAAGTTTCCCAGGTGCACTTTAAGGCAGCTTATTTAATCTGGTGCGGCAAAAAAATGGCATTGCTTACTGACTGATGATACCACACAAACATGTACATTAGCAGCTAATCTGAGCTGTGACGTGACATGCAGCAGACAATAAACAACATTTCTGCCAATTACACACTTTTAAAACATTCATTCATCCATAAATGAACATTTACTCATCTCCAATTTTGCTACAAATCTGTATGACTTGATGACTTACTTTCTTCTGTGGAACTGAATAGAAGATATTTCAAATAATCGTGAATGTTGGCCCCAGTGACTTGCATTTTATGAACAAAAATAAAAAATTATACATCACAAATGTATACATAAGGTGTATATATAAGATGTTTTAATATTAAAATGTTATAGCAAGTTTTTTATAATCACCAGGGTTGTTTATTTGTTTAAAAATAGAGTATAAACAGTTATATTGCGAAAAATACAACTGTTCTCCATTTTAATATATTAAAAATTCTAAATATTGTTAAAAAGTCAGCTTTAACAAAAGAACAAACGTATTGTCCGCACACTGATATAACTGCTCCATAAGAAATATTTATTGCAACGTTTCGGTCATCAGGTCTTCGTTAGGTACAAGTTACGTGAACTGAGGTACATCTCTTTACAAGTAACAGGTGGTCATCCTAATTAGACACATTCAATCACTATGTAGGTGTACTCCCACAAAAAAAGATAAAGAAAGACCGAGCGAGAGAGAACGGCTTAAACTCGAATAAACATACAAATCAATACAAGTAAAATACAGATCAATAATCACTCAAAATATTCAAACCATACTGAAAACAGATGAAGAAATACACACAATCCTATAGAAAAGGCTTAATATCAAATTCTTCATTCAACCCAAAAGGGGACTACGTATTAATTATAAATCCAAAAACATTCCCTTTGTAAAAGTTTCCTCTCAAAAAACACCCAATGCTGAATACCTAACCAAACAAATAGGGCCATTGCCTGATTGTGTTTCATTACCTGTAGCACGTAGTCACTGTGTTTGAGATGTATCATCAAATTTCCTCTTAGGTTCTTCTATCCATTCCCTACGATAACCTCGATGTAGAAATCTTGAATTTTCAAAAAAGATGGTCCGCCAAATCAGCGGACCATCGAGAGTAAGACTCTTCAGTGCTACACACACTATGCACACGCTTAAACTGGCTAATAGGCATGCTTTTAATCAGAGGTTTTGGAAACGATCACCTCTTAAAATCGTGCTTCGATCCGTTGGTTTGCGATACAATTCAGTTTGAAGTTTACCCTCAGAAATGTGTACCTTTACATCAAGAAAACGGATACTCTCTGTGTCATACTCCATAGTGAACTTCAAGTGTTCAGTTCTAGAGTTGAGATAATTCAAAAACAGCAACAATTCAGCGGGTGTAGAATTTGTTATCATAAAGATGTCATCAATGTGCCATTTATAAAACAAAAAAGGTAAAAAATAATTTGATTCATTTAAAATTAACTCATTTTCAAATACACCCATATATTGTAGAATTTGTTATCATAAAGATGTCATCAATGTGCCATTTATAAAACAAAAAAGGTAAAAAAATAATTTGATTCATTTAAAATTAACTCATTTTCAAATACACCCATATACAAGCGGGCATAATGTAATGCCATTTTACTGCCCATTGCTGTTCCCTTCACTTGTACATAATCATTTTGAAAACGAAAGTAATTATTAGTCAAAACAATATTTATAAGGTCCAGCAAACATGCTAGTACTAGGTTTCACTCCATTCTATCTTTGTTTTAGAAACTGTTCCACCGCCCATAAGCCATCCTCATGAGGGATGTTAGTATATAAACTCTGAACATCAAGTTTAGCGAGAAGAACAGCATCGACAGAAAAATCAACAGCATACAATGATTCAATAAAATCCATAGAATCTCTTACATAGGATGGCAACATGGGTACAAACGGTTTAATGAAGTAATCCACAAAAGAAGAAATATTCGCAGTAAGACTACCAATACCACTCACAATGGCGACCCTTCAAAGGGGTATCCACACCCTTGTGAACCTTAGGCAATGTATATATCAAAGGTGTAACCGGAAAATCAACTTTAAGGATTTCTTATAAATTTTTGCTGAATTCTCAGTTTTCAAAATGTTGCTGTAACTTGGAATGAACTTAAGTTTTCAATTTACTAGTAGGGTCAGCAGGTAAACATTCATAAAAAACACGATCATGCAATGGTCTCCTAATTTCCTTCTCATAATCTGCAGCTCGTTGAAGCACTATAGCCCTCCCTTATCGACAGGGCGCACAACCACATCAGTGTCTCTTTTAAAGGAACACTCCACTATTTTTGTGAACATTTTCCAACTCCCCTAGCGTTAAACAGTTGAGGTTTACCGTTTTCGAATCCATTCAGCCGATCTCCAGGTCTGGCAGTAGCACTTTTAGCTGTAACTTAGCATAGATCATTGAATCTGATTAGACCGTTAGCATCTCGCTAAAAAAAATGACCAAAGAGTTTCAATTTTTTTCCTATTTAAAACTTGACTCTTCTGTAACTACATCGTGTACTAAGACCAACAGAAAATGAAAAGTTGCTATTTTCTTGGCCGATATGGCTAGGAACTATACTCTACATTCCTGCGTAATAATCAAGGAACTTTGCTGCCATACCATGGGTGCAGCAGGCACAATGATATTACGCAGCGCCTGAAAATAGTCCCCAGCACAGAAGAGTCAAGTTTTAAATAGGAAAAATATATTAACTCTTTGGTCATTTTTGAGCAAGATGCTAACGGTCTAATCAGATTCAATGGTCTATGCTAAGCTGCAGCTAAAAGTGCTACCGCCAGACCCGGAGATCGGCTGACTGGATTCGAAAACGGTAAAACTCAACTGTTTAACTCTAGGTGAGTTGGAAAATTAGCCTATTTTCAAAAATAGTGGAGTGTTCCTTTAAGATCAAATAAAGCATCCCTCTCCGCTTTTGATAAATTATTATATGCTTTATATTGTCTTTTTTTGTTTGTTTGTTTTTGTTTTTTTTGTTAAAGCAAAGTCTTAACATCAGCTTCAACAAGCCTGCAGTAAGTATCCAAATATGCGTTCCTGTTACGTGGTGGGATAAAGGTTGACTTCCTTTTTAAAAGGAAGATGAATACTGGACGAATCAGGAGTGACACTGCGCTGTACAGTAACAGAAGGAGCATCATCAGACGGAGTAGATATTTCAGTTGTACCAAAGAATTCCCTCAGTCTCAGGGATCTAAAAAACGTAGCCTTTGCTAAGAGCAGCAATGCAAAAACTAGGAAGTGACTTGTCTGAGAAATTCATAACCATTTCCTCTGATTGCTCCTCGTCAGTTGTGGAGGAAGCGAAGAACTTCTTTTGTTTACCCCTTCTACATCTTTTCTTGAACTTCTTGCCTTCCAATCCGTACCATGCACTTCCGCCCGAGTGCGGTTTAAAAACCCAAGCTTTTCCGCCATCGACCAGCAGCATCAGAGTCAGAGTCGCCCGATGTTGAAGAGACCCATAACATATTCTCCCCAGGCTGTCAGCGTCCAAGGGGGACCTCAAAGGTGGCTCGACTACAATGAGAAGTCTGTGAATCTGGTTTTCCATCCTTCCTTGCTCATAGTCATCATTGTCCCTTGGAAACTTCCTCCACTTAGTCGCTTTAATCTCAGTGGAGAGTTCTGCCCATTGTCGGTCAAGATCTTTTTTCAGTTCTGTTAACTTACTTCTGTTGAGGATTTCACCAAGTTGTAACTCCAATGTTTTCGACTCCTGACGTGTTGACTCAAGTTGTTTCGTAGTCTCCTTAGTCACCAGCGCCATAAGATCAAACGAACATTTGTTTAGTATCTCGCACCAGCGAGATACTCCAGCGAGTCCTCCAAACCAAAAGTCAGCTTTGCCATCACAGGAATAAACTACATTTTAAAATCTACTGAAGCGGAAGTTATTTTAAGTTGTAATAATATTTCACAATATTAACTGTTTTACTGTGTTTTTAAATATAAGAAATATATAATAAAAGCCTTTGTGAGGATAGGAGACTTTTTTTCTTTTCAATTTTGAGTGAACTATGCTTGTACGAGCACCCTAAAAACTGAAATATGATTTAGTATTTGCAGTTTATATCTTGATTACAATACATTTTATTCCATCATAATACATAAATTATATTTAAATGACCTAAGAGAAAGATGCTTTTTGCAGGCATATGATATACAGTTATTACATTTACCATCAAGGCCTAACTGGACCATATTGCCTAGCCATACTTTGACACTTTTGTCCAAGCTAACAAATAGGCAAATGCTCTGAGCTAAACCAGAACTGTGATTGACAGCATGGGGTGTACATACAGCTGATATATCAGGTCTGGGTATGAACCAGGGCCAAGCTCAAAAATGAATGCACTACTATGGAATAAAAAACACAAAAACTTGCCTGAGGCCTTGTCAGATAATTGACAAAGGAAAAGTTCAGCAACAGCAAACAGCTTTTTAACTAACAGATGTAATCCTGAATTTAGCACTGGGATTAGTGCTTGCCTTAAAGCTTATTGAGCTCCCTCCACAGGTTGTTTAGCATTCAGCGCTCATTCAGCACAAATTAATTTGCATATGACGCCATTTTTATCAGGAAGTTTAGCCCTGGGGCCTTTTGAACCTTTTCCCGTTGTTGGAATCACACGCATCCTTCAGATCGGAGGTCTCGTTGAATTTAAGATTTCATTCCCCGCCACTCCTTCACTCTCATTTATCATGAGAATCTTTTTACTTTGCTCAATTCTTTTATGACATGGCTTTGGGGTTTTACAAAAAGTGCTGCATTGACTGAACGTGAGATCCAGTTGGCCTCAGGGCTTTACCTGTGTACAGAGCCGTTTTACTGAGGTCATGGCTTTACTATTGATTTTGTGCTGTGAAAGAGGGATCCTGAGGGAAACCCTGTGGACTGTCAAATATGATGGATCGATGTCGTCAACAACAAGGGACACAGAATTATGTGGATATCCCTTGGCAATATCCACATCACACGGTTGTTGTTAGCTTCCTGTCTAATGAAGTTCTAGCAAATGAGGAAATCAGATTCAGATTATGTATACTCCTCATAGATATGTTGTGTTACAAGTGTGATAAATGAAACCTGCATAATTCTTTTATGACATGGCTTTGGGGTTTTACAAAAAGTGCTGCATTGACTGAACGTGAGATCCAGTTGGCCTCAGGGCTTTACCTGTGTACAGAGCCGTTTTACTGAGGTCATGGCTTTACTATTGATTTTGTGCTGTGAAAGAGGGATCCTGAGGGAAACCCTGTGGACTGTCAAATATGATGGATCGATGTCGTCAACAACAAGGGACACAGAATTATGTGGATATCCCTTGGCAATATCCACATCACACGGTTGTTGTTAGCTTCCTGTCTAATGAAGTTCTAGCAAATGAGGAATTCAGATTCAGATTATGTATACTCCTCATAGATATGTTGTGTTACAAGTGTGATAAATGAAACCTGCATATATATATGTATATGACAGAATCCATCGCAGTGGGAGGAGAGACGGCCTTTACAAAGACAATCTGCTGCTCAGGGGCTGCACCATCCGCAACACAGAGGAGGCTGTAGGAATCGTCATCTATGCAGGTATGCTGCTTCTTTCCAAACCAGGACTGGAAAAGTCCACTACAGTAGTTTAATTTTACATGCTGTCCACTAAAGTGTCATTTCCACCACATTTGAAATGATGTATTATGTCAAACATATAGATCATAGATCTTTTATTTTAGTAATTTCATCCATCACAAAAAAGTGCAATTAATTTTATTTTTATTTTAAATATTTACACTCTATGCATAATTGGGAAATGATGCTGTTTTATTGGACATTACATACTTTTAAATATTCTATTAAACATTTAATTTACCTTCTTTTTTTCTTTACACGCATCTCAAGTATGCAGTTTACTGACTAATTTGTAACAAGTACACTAACTTTTGATTAATTTATGGATTGTGAAGGAAATAAAAACTGTTGGACATTTATAATTTGTGTTAAATCATTTTCACACTATCTAAATTATATCATTAGTATGTAATTTTTATAAATTTTTTCCCCATATTTTAATATTTTTTAAATTTTCACATTTTTATATTTAAATATCACCAAGAATTAAAAAAACCTTTACAAATAGCATTTAGAAGGAATCAAAAAGATATGGTAAATACTTAGTATTAAGACAAACACAAAGAACAAAATTGCTAATTTTGTGTGATTTGTGATTTTCATGTTTACATAGAAATTGTTTGATGACTGGTCATCTGACTGGTGCAGCTCATGTTATTTTTACAAAAAGTGAGTGTTTTGCTTTACATGGATTCTTAGGTCATGAAACAAAAGCAATGCTGAACAACAACGGCCCTCGTTATAAACGCAGCAAACTGGAGCGGCAGATGAACATAGATGTGTTCTGGTGTGTCATCATCCTTCTGGTCATGTGCCTCTTTTCCGCCATCGGTACGTAAAACTTGTCAGTTTTTCTTCCAAGTTATTATTGCTGTCATAATTGAAATGTTTTTGAGGTGTGCATATAATGGCTATTTTAAAATGTCATATGTGGCTCATCAAAACTATCCATATAATATTACTTACTATTGTGTTAGTTACCGTTTTAAGTTTTTTTATAATTGACAAAGGAAAAGTTCAGCAACAGCAAACAGCTTTTTAACTAACAGATGTAATCCTGAATTTAGCACTGGGATTAGTGCTTGCCTTAAAGCTTATTGAGCTCCCTCCACAGGTTGTTTAGCATTCAGCGCTCATTCAGCACAAATTAATTTGCATATGACGCCATTTTTATCAGGAAGTTTAGCCCTGGGGCCTTTTGAACCTTTTCCCGTTGTTGGAATCACACGCATCCTTCAGATCGGAGGTCTCGTTGAATTTAAGATTTCATTCCCCGCCACTCCTTCACTCTCATTTATCATGAGAATCTTTTTACTTTGCTCAATTCTTTTATGACATGGCTTTGGGGTTTTACAAAAAGTGCTGCATTGACTGAACGTGAGATCCAGTTGGCCTCAGGGCTTTACCTGTGTACAGAGCCGTTTTACTGAGGTCATGGCTTTACTATTGATTTTGTGCTGTGAAAGAGGGATCCTGAGGGAAACCCTGTGGACTGTCAAATATGATGGATCGATGTCGTCAACAACAAGGGACACAGAATTATGTGGATATCCCTTGGCAATATCCACATCACACGGTTGTTGTTAGCTTCCTGTCTAATGAAGTTCTAGCAAATGAGGAATTCAGATTCAGATTATGTATACTCCTCATAGATATGTTGTGTTACAAGTGTGATAAATGAAACCTGCATATATATATGTATATGACAGAATCCATCGCAGTGGGAGGAGAGACGGCCTTTACAAAGACAATCTGCTGCTCAGGGGCTGCACCATCCGCAACACAGAGGAGGCTGTAGGAATCGTCATCTATGCAGGTATGCTGCTTCTTTCCAAACCAGGACTGGAAAAGTCCACTACAGTAGTTTAATTTTACATGCTGTCCACTAAAGTGTCATTTCCACCACATTTGAAATGATGTATTATGTCAAACATATAGATCTTAGATCATAGATCTTTTATTTTAGTAATTTCATCCATCACAAAAAAGTGCAATTAATTTTATTTTTATTTTAAATATTTACACTCTATGCATAATTGGGAAATGATGCTGTTTTATTGGACATTACATACTTTTAAATATTCTATTAAACATTTAATTTACCTTCTTTTTTTCTTTACACGCATCTCAAGTATGCAGTTTACTGACTAATTTGTTACAAGTACACTAACTTTTGATTAATTTATGGATTGTGAAGGAAATAAAAACTGTTGGACATTTATAATTTGTGTTAAATCATTTTCACACTATCTAAATTATATCATTAGTATGTAATTTTTATAAATTTTTTCCCCATATTTTAATATTTTTTAAATTTTCACATTTTTATATTTAAATATCACCAAGAATTAAAAAAACCTTTACAAATAGCATTTAGAAGGAATCAAAAAGATATGGTAAATACTTAGTATTAAGACAAACACAAAGAACAAAATTGCTAATTTTGTGTGATTTGTGATTTTCATGTTTACATAGAAATTGTTTGATGACTGGTCATCTGACTGGTGCAGCTCATGTTATTTTTACAAAAAGTGAGTGTTTTGCTTTACATGGATTCTTAGGTCATGAAACAAAAGCAATGCTGAACAACAACGGCCCTCGTTATAAACGCAGCAAACTGGAGCGGCAGATGAACATAGATGTGTTCTGGTGTGTCATCATCCTTCTGGTCATGTGCCTCTTTTCCGCCATCGGTACCATGCTAATAAGCAACCAATTAGTAGTGAGAATTGGTCCCTAAACTAAAGTGTTACCCACAATTATTTTTTTTTAAATACTTTTATCCAGCAAGGATGAATTGTAAATTAAACAAAATTAAGAGACATTATAATGTTACAAATTGCTATTCCTATAAATGCTGTACTTTTAAACTTTACAATTATTAAAGATTCCTGGAAAGATAGATTGCCGTTTCCACAAAAATATTAACTGTTTTTAACATTGATAATAATAAGAAATGTTTTTATTAAGCACCAAAACAACATATTAGAAAGACTGGAGTAATGGCTGCTGAAAATTCAGCTGTGCCATTACAGGAATAAAAAAAAAATTCATATTAGAGTAGAAAACCGTAAATTTAATTGTAATAAAATTTCAAAATATTATAGTTTTTGATCAAATAAATGCAGCCTTGGTGAGCATAAAATACTACTTTTAAAAATTAAATTATTTAAACTTTTTAAACATTTGTGTGTGTGTGTGTGTGTATATATAGATTGAATGATTATGTAGTTCACTTCGTCTATAGCCTGTACCCCAGTAAGGCAGCTCAGGTTAAAGACTAGCATGAGGAAAAAGTGCCAGAATCCTTAGGTCTTCAATGTACAGCCCAGATGTTTCAAAGAGTGTCTTTCCCACAGCAAGGAGGCTTGCTATGTACCAGGAAATGGATTCAGAGGAGGAGGACTGTACATCTCATGGTGGAACTCTCCCACGGCGGGACAGCGTCATCAGCCACCAGAGTGGAAAAGTGGTGTTGCGATCACAGAGCACTAAATCTCACCGTCGCACCGGGAGCAGAGCCGAAGCCAAACGGGCCAGCATTCTGTCCAAACACACTGCCTTCAGCAGTCCCATGGTTAGAAAACGTATCTTCTCCACCTTAAGCTGTACATATCTATCCCACTATCCCAATGCTTAATGATATTTGCTCTTTTATTTGATTGGTTTGACAGGAAAAGGACATTACTCCAGATCCCCAGCTCATGGATAAAGTCAATGAGTGCAGCAGTCAGATGGAGTTCATGCGTTTTCACAGTCAGTCCCTGAACCAGATCCCACCTGACCTGTGTGACGTCTTTGACTTTTTCATTGCTCTCACTATCTGCAACACTGTGGTTGTGTCCTCACCCAATCAACCCCGGCAGAAGGTAAGCAGACCGACCACCAGGAATTAGCTGACATTCGCAACCTACTTTACGTCAGTAATGTGACATTCCGTTGAGAAGAAGTCAGTGCTGAAATTAAATAGTCAGTTTTATAGTAATTTCAATCCTGGTGGCTTTTTTGTCAGGTCAAATGTTCCTTGGATCTTATCAAGGTGCGTCGCTACGAGTTGAAGTCTCCAGTGAAGACCATCGAGGACTTCATCAAGCGCTTCACTCCGAGCCGCCTGACCTCTGGCTCCAACAACAGCAGCTCCTCCAGTCTAGCCACCAATCGCTCGTCCTCCCATAAAGTGGGCTGCAGCATGCTGTCCACCCCCTCGGCCGAGAGCACGCTCACAAAGCTGAACGAGAAGAAGCGTCTGGAGCATGACCTGCAGCATGCCTTCAGCCCCGGCCCACCCAACTTTGATAAAACAAAAGCTTTGGCTCAGGATGAATGCGAGCTCAGATATGAGGCAGAGTCACCGGACGAGGCAGCGTTGGTTTATGCAGCCCGGGCCTATAAGTGTGCTCTTGTTGGCCGTTTACCGGATCAGGTGACCGTGGAGCTTCCACACTTGGGCAAGCTAAGCTTTGAGCTTCTGCACACACTGGGGTTTGATTCCACAAGAAAAAGGATGTCAGTGGTGGTAAAACACCCGCTGACTGAGCAAATCACAGTTTACACCAAGGGTGCCGATTCGGTCATCATGGATTTGATCAGACCAGCCACAGGTATGCTAACATTGATGAGCACATTGTTCCCACACTTTATTTCTAGGGTTCAACATTTTAGCTGCTCTGATGCATAATACAGATGCATTGCAGTGTATATTCAAAATATTAAGTTTACATGCTTATAGTGATGCAGGTTTGAGTCTGGCTCATGTCATGTCCCAAACCCAATGCCCCTTTCTCTCCCTCCATTTCATATACGTGTAGAGGAAAATGAGAAAACAAGAGACCAAAAATGCAGATGAGCTGAAGGCCACTGTCAAAGAAACCTGGGCTTCCATACCACCTCAGCAGTGCCACAAACTGATCACCTCCATGCCACGCCGAATTGAGGCAGTAATTAAAGCAAAAGGATCCCCTACCAAGTATTGAGTACATGTAAAGTAAATGTACATACTTTCCAGAAGGCCAATAATTCACTAAAAATGTTTTTTTTATTGGTCTTATGAAGTATTCTAATTTGTTGAGATAGTGAATTGGTGGGTTTTTGTTAAATGTGAGCCAAAATCATCACAATTAAAAGAACCAAAGACTTGAACTACTTCAGTCTGTGTGCATTGAATTTATTTAATACACGAGTTTCACAATTTGAGTTGAATTACTGAAATAAATTAACTTTTCCATGACGTTCTAATTTGAGATGCACCTGTATATGTATCTGTACATGTACATGTATTATCATTCAAAAGATTGTGCTTCATGGAGTCGGTAAGATGCATTTATTTGATCAAAAGGTTTGTGAAATATTATGTAAAATACAATTAAATATTATAAATATAATATAATTCTATAATTTAGAATAACTGAATTTTTAACAGCAATTAAACTAGTCTTCAAGGTCTCATGATCCTTCAGAAATCATTCTAATATGCTAATTTAGTGCTTGGGTCAAGATAGAGTTTTTATTAATATCAATGTTGAAAACAGTTGTGCTGCTTAATATTTTTGTGGGGGAAAAAATGTATACTTTTTTTTTTTTTTTTTTTTCTTTAGGATTCGAAGATGAAATAAATAACTTAAAGGGATAGTTCACCCAAAAATGAAAATTTGATGTTTATCTGCTTACCCCCAGGGCATCCAAGATGTAGGTGACTTTGTTTCTTCAGTAGAACACAAACGAAGATTTTTAACACAAACTGTTGCAGTCTGTCAGTCTTATAATGGAGGTGAATGGGAATCATGGCTTTGAGAGTAAAAAAAAAACGTACACAAACAAAACCAAATTAAACCCTGCGGCTCGTGACGATACATTGATGTGTAAAGACACAAAACGATCAGTGTGTGCAAGAAACTGAACAGTATTTATATTGTTTTTTACCTCTGATTCACGCAATGTCCGGATTGTTCGAACTGTCCTGAGCGGCGGTGTGTCCTCCTGAGTGTGAGGCGTCGTCTTCTTGCTTTACGGCGGATCGCATACTTATAAGTGCATTACCACCACCTATATCTCAAATGGACCATTGACACTATCTACAATCTCAATTAGGAGTGTCAATGGTCCACTTGAGAGCAGATGAAGAAAACGACGACGCCTCACGCGCCTGCTGTTGAGAACGCACTCAGGAGGACGCGCCGCCATTCAGGACTGTTCGAACAGTTCGGACATTGCGTGAATCAGAGGTAAAAAAACTATATAAATACTGTTCAGTTTCTTGCACAGACCGATCGTTTCATGTCTTTACACATCAATGTATCGTCACGAGCCGCAGGGTTTAATTGGGTTTTACTTGTGTATGTTTTTTTTTTTACTCTCAAAGCTGTGATTCCCATTCACCTCCATTATAAGACTGACAGACTGCAATGGTTTGTGTTAAAAATCTTCGTTGGTGTTCTACTGAAGAAACAAAGTCACCTACATCTTGGATGCCCTGGGGTAAGCAGATAAACATCAAATTTTCATTTTTGGGTGAACTATCCCTTTAATACATGCTTTTATTGCCACTTTTTATCAATTTAATGCATCCTTTTCTTAATAAAAGTATCCAGTACTTCTTTAAAAATAAAAGTAGTTTATAACTGCCTCAAGTGGTGCATTTTTTTTTTCATTAATTCACCTACCCATTATCAATTATTTCTTTACGATTTTTACAGATATAACAAAAACAGCATAACTCATAACATCTTGTTGAAAAGTTCATCTTAGTTCATCTTATTGAAAGTTTGAAGCTGTATTTCTGACAGGTTTGCTCCCATCCATCTTGTAGCTTCTAAAAGACACTTTCTATGAATTTCACCATCTATGATTTCAACTGTCTAACTTTTTGAATTATTCTTTTTATTTTTTAATGGCTCTCCTCTTTTATATTTGGAATTCAGATTAACAAACGCCTGGCATGCTGTCAAACCTTCCCCCTTATGAAATGAATCAAATATTCTGGGTTAGTTTATTTTGATGTTCAGTGTTGATTATGCTTTAGAACGCTTGTTGATCATATTAAAGTTTTAATGAAGTCTGTTTTTTTTCTCCGTGCCCCAGTTAGACGGTGCATGAGGCCTATTCCAGCAGAATTAATGAATAACGGCTCACGGCCAAATGGCTAAAAGTCATCTGATTTCTTCAGAACACTGAATGGATAGATTTTTTTTAATGTCTCCAAGAAATTGGAAGTGAGAGAGCCACCATCTACTAAGAGCAGACAGTGAGACGGTGTGATTTTTCAAGGAAATGTTTTGAATTTTTCTTGTCTTTGGAGTGCTTAAAATGGCCTCTGGGTTTTGATGTACACTGTTGATCTATGCTGATAGACATTTGATTCCCACATAGTCAGCATGTTAAGGGCAATACGTCCCCTTCACCCAAACATCTTCTGGATGGCTTCCAGATTGTTCTTGACTCTTGATGTATAGCCAAGGGTTTTAGCGGTAATAAACTATCCTAATGGCATAGGTAGACTGGCTTGTTTAGTATTCCAGGCACGAGAACCGCTCCAGTGGCAGTTTTCTCTAATGCGGTGTACATAAATGACTGAACAGAAGTACTACATGCACAGCCCTGTGCTTTATATTTAAATGTCAAGACAACAGCCAAAAAAAGAGACTAAACTATGGCTTTGAATAGTTCACAAGTGGTCTGGTTGCTCATGTTTTTGGAGGAAAGAGCAGAATAAATCAGAACATGGATTTTTTTTCAGTGTTATTTCTTTCTTTAGCACAACAGCCAAAAAAAGAGACTAAACTATGGCTTTGAATAGTTCACAAGTGGTCTGGTTGCTCATCTTTTTGGAGGAAAGAGCAGAATAAATCAGAACATGGATTTTTTTTCAGTGTTATTTCTTTCTTTAGCATTTTTTTTTTCAGTATGTTACAGATTAGAAAAGAGAATAATTTGTTGAAGTTGATATTTTTGTAAAATATGTTACATAATTCTTATGTTCAAAAGAGTGTGTATATTTGTATACAAAAGGTGGCATATTTGTCTGTCACAGGCTACTGTTCTAAACAAACAAACATCTGGTTGTGTTGCCAACACGCTTCCTTCGGGTGGAATTTTCTAGTTTCCTGGTGCATTTGAAAGATTGACTAATATTTTTCAGACCACAAAAAAAAAAAAAGAATAAGAAAAAATAAGAATTTATTTGAAGCAACATTTCATAAGATATTAAGTGTATTTCATCTTATTGCACTGACAGATTTTGTCCCTTGTGTTTAATTTGTTATATTTAAAAAATTATATATTTGCTGTATGAAAAGAAAACTGTAGAATAAGAAGTGGAGTAAGACCAAACACATATTCAGGCAAAAGTACAAGTCTTAATAAAATACAATGTTGCTTCTCAAGTACATTAATTTTCTTTCAAGGATATTCTGAGTTTTACATTGCTATCTGTAAAAAAAATAAAATAAAAATACTACTTAACCTTAAAGTCGGCACAAAACATATTATAGATCTTATTGTGAGCGATTCATCCGTTTTTTTTGTTTTTGTTTTTTTACTTTAATGTCATAACTTGATTTTCTTTCAGCATTTAAAAACCTGACTTACCACAATCGCCCAAGAGCTGGCAATAATTTTTGGGTGCAATGCTCATATCTCAAAATCCAATCAACAACCAATGAATAGAAATCCCTGTCCTCCTTTTTTTTACGAAAAAAAGTCAATACAGAAAAAAAAAGGGAAAAAAATCTGTGGTTAATTCATTTTCATTTCATTATTATTATTTTTTACACAGAAAAGGTTAGCAAGTTATTTTAATCACACTAGTCTTAATTGTTAACATGTTTAAGAATGGCTATACATGTTTGTTTGTTTTTTAGTTTATAGCGAATATCTTGCCCCATAGATTTCCATTGAAAGTGCATTCAAGATTTGTGCAGTTGAGATTGAGACTTTTTCAGCTATATGGACAATAAGCTAGTGTCATTGCAAGTAGTTATGTCATTTCCTCTTTCTGTCATGTGTTTAGCTGGCAGCCTGGAAATATGTTTAAAAACCCCAGGTTTATTAGTGTCCAGCCTACGTTGGGGTTAGTTGGCATAAAACTGCACACACACCCAGACTGTGCCTCACTACAGACTATGAACTGTTTTATGCACATAGACACACACGCTCAGTGTACATTCCTGTACTTTAGGAGCTAGAGCCACTGTTCACCTCTGGGTGTGGGCTTCCAATTAACACAGCAGACCCACTGAAGGTACAGTTGCTCCATTCAGAAGCAGTGGGATGTTTGCCATGCTTGTCTAATGACACAATGCACAAAAAAACAGACTACAGGTGCCAGCCTGAGCCACACAGCTTTCGAGTCTTTGACAAGAAAATTGTTGCAACTTCATTGACATAAAGCTGTCTTGACCAGGCAACCATAAAGATTTGGAAAAACAAACAGTACCTATGTGTTTCCAGTCATTATGGAACATGTTTAAAATGAAGGACATAGACAAAAATGTTCCAAAGTGTGCTCCATTACCAATGTTGGAAAGGACACCATGTTTTGCTAAGGGAATGGCAATCATTTCCGTCTCTCAGTAATAAGAAACTGGTGCGTAATTTTTGTTTCTGTGAGTAGCTACCTCTGGTTAAATTCCAAGACATACTTTTACTTACTTTTGTACATACTTCTCAGGCATTAAACTTTGGTTCATAGGTCGTCCTAAATGAAGTTAGCTGTGGACATGAAAGATAATACTCCTTTTGTGTTGCTAGTGGTTTAAAAATTCCCCACTTAACCTTTTAAAAAACTGTTGCATATATTATGAAAGACTTTAATACACTTTTCCTTTTCGCTCTTTGAAGGGTCATGTCAGGGCATGATATGGGGATTTACTTTATCTATAGGTTTATTAAGAACATTTAATACCTGAGTCAATGCATCAGTCTCTGAAAAAACACATCCAGTCGACCCACAGTTGCAAGGGTGGTGATGAATCATTCGGTGAAAATATGAGGTTTGGCACTCTCACCCCCTCGTCTTGGCTGACGGTCGTCCGTGTTGGGAAGTGATCAAACAGTTTGTTCAACTCTTCCTGCAAGGAAGCAATGCACTGAGCAATAACACAGGAGCGATAAACCTCAAAATGCTCCGAAGCCAGCTTATCCAGTCAACCTGTCAAAACACTCTGCCATCTTGATGAAATCTATTGGCCTTGTTGAGGAAGCCAATGGCAACATAGAGAACCATCCTTGAAGAGGCTGAAGTGATTAGTTTAGCTGTCTGCTTACAGTATGTGTTTTTCACACTGTGTGTTTAATATTAGTTTAGTAAATCCTTCTCTAAATGTTAGAATATTTTGATGGATTGTCTAATTTTCTTTTTGGTTTTCTTTGTGTTTTTGTATTGCAGATGATTGCAAAGGAAAACGACAAAGGAAAATCTTGTATAAAACTCAAAACTACTTAAATCTTTATGCTGCAGACGGTCTCAGGACACTCTGTATCGCCAAAAAGGTAACACGGACTCTCAGTAACAATTGGAAAATTAAAGTTTTTTAATATGATATAATATAATCTTACACAAATAATGTTTTTGAATAACCTTCATTTTGATATATATTTGATATATATTTAATTTAATCTTTAATATGAATCTTTAATCAATTGATAGCCCTCATTTTTATTTGTCACTTTTTTGTACGCTTTTGGGTGGACTTTACTGGATAAAAACAAAGTGTTTGTTGAAAATGTAAAAGTGTTTTTGCACCGATGGTTTACAAAACTCTGAGATTTTTCCCAGAATACTGATCTGTTTGACAGATCTCTCACTCTCTGTCCGTCTTTTTCTCATCTCTCTTCTTTCTCTGTATCTCATGGATCATAATATATGCTCTCGTTCTCTTCTCTGACTTGTTAACTCAGTGTCTTGAGCTCCTCGTGGGAGTCTGGTTGCCGTATGATGTGATAAGATGTGTTGTTTTTTTCCACAATTTTTCAACAAACTTTCACATACTTCCTCGGATCTACTGAATTAGATTTCTGCTGTCATTGACAATAACCAACGAAACGTTACTTTTTCCCCTTTTTCCTAACTAAAGCCCAGCTGTGATCTAACACTTCCTATATCATTTTAATAAAAGTATGAATTCTATCATTTCTTCTTTTTGGCATGCTTCATTATCACTGTTGCTAAATAGTCACCTTAACAGAAGGGAAGCCTTGAACAGCTTGCATACAATTATTTTTCACACAGCTAAGTGTGAATTCATACATAAACGGAGCTGCTTAAAGTTTAACAAGCCTCTTATTGTGTTAGTTTTATTTTCTCCACCTGTTATACTTTATTGTGCTCTTCTCTCTTTTTCCTTTTTTCATGCATCCCTTTGAAGCTAGCACACTGCTGACGTGATCTAATCGCTAGCACACCCTGAGCACATGTGAGTTAATGTATTCCTCTTATCGGCAAGGCATATCGGCATATATTTTCATATCGGGCCGATGCCGATATTTACACTTAAAGCCATTATCGGCCGATTCTGATATTGGTGCGATAATATCTTGTATCCCTATTTATTTTTTAAATATTATTATTATTATTATTATTATTATTATTATATAACTAATCCCAACACTTTTTCTCTTGGGATGGCTCTGTTTATCCTTCTTTGTTATTTGTTTGTCAAATGTCATCTTTAGTTAGTTTAATTATCGGCAACTGCTGTTAAGATTTTCTGTTTTTACACTGACAGCACTGAGAACAAAAGCAGCAGGCGCACAATAAATTATGTAAAAAAATTTGTTAATTAATTTTCAAGTTCTAATTAAGTAAATATTAATATCAATTAATATTAATTAGATTGTAGCATGTTACTTGAACCCATTACCCGGGATTTGAACATGGGACGTCCGAAGCGCAACAGCGATATATGTCAATGCGCTGCCCACAAGGCTATCAGCGCCGACAACGTGTTATCTTCAAATTAAAGTCAGTCATGACCATTTTTATGTTTATGGGATATTGCAGTGTTTATTATAAATAATTTTCCCATGCACAGAATGTTTTTATTTATGTGCCCTCGTACTCTTTAATCATTACTTTAAATAGACTATTTAAATAGTGATATTGCATATATTGGCTTTTTATCAGCTAACCTGCTCTCGAAGATATCAGCCATCAAAAGTACATATCTGGCCACCTCAAATGAAAATATTTTGTAAGGTAATTTATTTAGACCTAAAGGACCAAAAGAGTCTATAGTTGAAAAAACACCCATATTCCCCTGCATGTTCACTATTAGACTGTAGGTGTTTCCCTCACAGAACTGCTGAACTGGCTTGAATGAGCTCTCATGATGTTTCATGATTTTGTCTCCTTGGAGATCACGTGATGCATCCACATGAGTTTTGTTTTGAAAAACCACACAGGCAAAGAGCTGTCATCCTGGAATGTCTTAATCACCGACTTGCTGTATTAGTCAGAACGTTTTCTTTGCTTAAAGGGATAGTACACCCAAAAATAAAAATGGTCATCATCATACTCTCGCCCTTACCTCATTACAAAGCTGAATGACTTTCTTCCTTCTGTGGAACAAAAGAAGATATTTCGAAAAATGTTGGGAACCAAGCTGTTTGGATTACTTTTGAACCAAAAAGAAGACATTTCGAGAATATCAGTCGCAGTGATTTTTTTTTTATTTCACTGAAGAAAGTCGTAGAGATTTGGAATCACATGAGGGTGACTAAGCAATGACAACATTTAAATTTTTGGGTGGAGTATCCCTTTAAAAAAGTGATTTTGTACAGTAAATATCTTACATAATTTATACCATAATAATTTCCGAGCAGAGTCATCTTTTTTGGGGGGGGGGGGTAATTTCTCTGTATGTCTTTGTCCCTTTTATGACCTTCCTGATTTTTTGGTTTGAATGTGTACTCTTACTAGGAGGCCTGTGCTGTATTGCTCAAGAACAGTCTGCACTACATCCAGACCAAGTTCCTTTGCAACCCTCGACCAGATCCTCAAGCAGCTAGAGGCTATGCTGGCATCCACTTCTCTTCTCCGGTGTGTTCCCCGGCCTCCTCTGGCCACTCCAGCCCCTTCCTGGTGCACCGGCTAGGGCTGGTGATCGACGGCCGGACCTTGGCCTACGCACTGGACAAGAGTTTGGAGGACAAGTTCCTGGCTGTGGCTCGAAGTTGCAGGTCCGTTCTATGCTGTCGCTCGACGCCCCTGCAGAAGAGCATGGTGGTCAAGTTAGTGCGTAACAAGCTCAAGGTCATGACGCTGGCAATAGGTAAGTGGTGGATATGTTTGGTCGTTTTTAATCTAGTGTTTCTTGCAAATGCTTAATCTCAAGTGAGTTTTTAACAGTGTTTCGTTTAGCTGAATTTGTTGCATGAAAAAAGCTTTTAAAGCCCAGTCTGCAAGTGATGACTCCCTAGTGGCCATAAACATCACATAACTGCAGCTAAGATAATACACACAAATGAACTTCACTGTGTTCCACAGTACTAATGCTAGTGACTGTGCTTAAAGGAATAGCTTGCCCAGAATTGAAGATGGCATCATTTCCTCACCCTCACATTGTTCCAAGAGCTTTCCATGCTCTTTTCCATGCAATTACATAAACAGAGACTGAAGCCTTGAAAGCTTCAGAAAGGACACCTATGAGCACCATTAAAATAGTCTATGTGAGGGAAAATTGCCAATCCAACAAAGTCTGTCCTAATAATTGAAAGATTTTTCTTTTATTCCCTACTTTCAAAAGAAAACATGATCAGTTTAGACATTACCTTTCAAAAGCTTTTTGATTTTTTTTCTCAGAAATTGTGTTAAATTGATCAAAAGTGATGGTAAAGACATTTATATCACTAGGCAAATATTTTATTCAGAAGGTCCATTCATACATGTTTTAAAAAGGACTCGTGAGAAAAAAAAAAAGAAAGAAATGTTGTCAGAACAAAATAGGTTTTCACTTAAAATCTTTGAATATGCCTGAGTTTGTCCTTGACTGGTATGTTTTTAAATGATTCACAAAGCTCATGTGAATGATTCCTTTCTGAATCTAGCACAGGAGTTCAGCTCACTGATTCAGTGGGAAGAGTATCAGTGCATAATAATGTTCTGCTTTTCTGAAACGTTTGCATCATTTTTAAAGCTTGAAAGCTTTAGTCTCCATTCAGAGCATGTGAGCAGAGCGGGGAGCGGAGTGGTAATATTTCCTTAAGAGCGCAGAGCGCCCTTTCTGAAGATTCCGCTCCGCTCGCTCCTAAACGCTCAGTGCCGCTCGCTCAACCCAGAATGCCGTTTGGTGATTTGCTTGTTCGAGATCGAGAATCTGTAGAGATCGTGAATAGTAGAGCAGTTATGGAGTTCAGATATTGTTTCAACGAAGTTGCAAGCCTTATACATAAATGTAAAGTAAAAAATCTAAATTAAGAATGAGCAGGGAGAAGAAACTGAGAGGGAGTGCTGGGAGCGTTAGTAAAGATTAATATTGCCAGAAAGCACGAGGATGTGCTACGCAAACATGGTGCCGCAAAAGGTGAGCTAGTAACATACCATAATAAATGAATAAACATTTTTTATGATGAAGTCAAGTAGCTTCGAAAGAGATGAGTTTTCAGCTGTCGCTTGAAAATTGTCAGGGATTCAGCATTCCGGATAGGGGTGGGAAGATCGTTCCACCAGCCAGGAGTGGTGAATGAGAATGTTCTGGAAAGTGATTTTGAGCCTCTCTGTGATGGTACCACGAGGCGTCGCTCACTAGCGGATCTAGGATATTAAGTAAAGATCATGTTCCATGAAGATATTTTGAAAATTTCCTACCGTAAATATATCAAAACTTGATTTTTGATAAGTAATATGCATTGCTGAGAACTTCATTTGGACAACTTTAAAGACGATTTTCTCAGTATTTTTGCACCCTCAGATTCCAGATTTCCAAATAGTTGTATCTCGGCCAAATAGTGTCCTATCCTAACAAACCATACATCAATGGAAAGCTTATTTATTCAGCTTTCAGATGATGTATACATCTCAATTTAAAAAAAAATTACGACAAAAAACCTTATGACAGGTTTTGTGGTCCAGGGTCACACATGACCTACCGTAAATATATCAAAACTTGATTTTTGATAAGTAATATGCATTGCTGAGAACTTCATTTGGACAACTTTAAAGACGATTTTCTCAGTATTTTTGCACCCTCAGATTCCAGATTTCCAAATAGTTGTATCTCGGCCAAATAGTGTCCTATCCTAACAAACCATACATCAATGGAAAGCTTATTTATTCAGCTTTCAGATGATGTATACATCTCAATTTTAAAAAAAATTACCCTTATGACAGGTTTTGTGGTCCAGGGTCACACATGTCCTCAAATGGGTTTGAGAAGACATGAGGGCGAGTAAAGGATGATTGAATTCTAATTTTTGCTTGAACTGTCCCTTTAAACAATAACTGGTTGTTTCTTTTTAAGATGTCCAAAATGGGTAACATACAGTAGATGTTCTTTTTTTGTTGTTGTTTCTCATACTGTTTGCTTGGCAAGTTGAATTTGGAGATTAATGGTCCCCGGTGTTGCCAAGTAAACATTTCAGTGTTGACTGGACGGCACGTGTCTGTCCTTTCCCCAGTGCAGAATGCCACATTTACAAGCCTACGCAGCACTCTAGCTAATTATCCAGATGGCTTTAGGGAGAGAGAGAGAGAGATGCGAGGTGCATCAAGACTGAGACACCTGCCTGCAGAAAGAGTGGGTTACCTCAGGTCATTCCCCCGACCTTAAAGGGGTCATATGATGCGATTTCAGTTTTTCCTTTCTCTTTGGAGTGTTACAAGCTCTTGGTGCATAAAGATGATCTGTAAAGTTGCAAAGACTAAAGTCTCAAATCTAAAGAGATATTCTTTATAAAAGTTAAGTCAACCACGCCTACCTAAAACGGCTCGTTCTAACACGCCCCCACATATCTACCTCACTATGTGGGAAGATTTGCATAACGCCGCCCAAATGTTCACGCAAAGAAAGAAGGCGTAACTTTTATTCTCGCTGTAGTATTGTTGTTGCCGCCGCCATGTCGTGAAGGTGCTGTGTGTTTCGTTGTGAAAGCGAAACTACTTTGTTTGGCCTTCCAAAAGAGGACAATATCTGCTTCGTCATGCCTGGAGCTGATCCGTGCTGGTTGCTGAGGAAATACAACAACTTTGCGCTGTGGATCACCGGATCGGCTTTCACCGTGGAAGAAGCGGAGTCCAGCCCGGGGTCGTCACATGTGGTTGCCGCAAGCCCTCCGGACGCTCCTTCGTCAAATCCTCCGGCCGCGCCATTCTCAAGCCCGCCGCCTCTGCTCACTCTAGCCCTCCGGCCGTTCCTCACTCTAGCCCCCGCCGCATAAACACATTTCATTACACCAAATACACAAAAGAATGTTATTTTTAGCAACATCATATGACCCCTTTAATAAAGATTTTGTAATTCATTTATGTCTCATGGAAAGACAGGAGCAGGTTTTTTTAAACATTAACTGTCATTTTGGATGGGAATGAGAGAAGGAGTGCTCAAACGACCCTCAATGGTGCTGTAAATAAACTCCTTTGCCTCGAAAATGACAGACTTCATTACAGAATGAATCGGAGCCTTGCCGTCTTCACCGCATGACTCTAATGAACGGACATTTATGGTGTACAGACATGTTCACAGCAGATGTTACCGGTTCTCATGCTAAGCATATTTGCTTTGTTGGTGTACTTCAAATAAAGGTGGTCTTGTTGAATTTGGCTGTTATGCTTGTTTGTTTCAGTTTGGACAAAGGCGACTGAAGGTCTCAGCAGGCTATTACTTTTCTATATACTTCAAAGCCTACTAGCTTTTTAGCTTGAAAGTCAGCTTTTGATGATAGCTTGGGGTCAAGTCAGCACTTCGCCTTATGCCTCAGGCAACAGAGGATGATTTTAAAAACCACCTCAAGGCAAATTCATAGGTCCAAGATAAACATCTTTGAACACATAGTATGTTATCTGAAGTACACTGTGCCTCTCACCATACACAATTTTCAGACAGATTGTTGTCAATTTACAGTTCATAATCATGTAGGCCTAATTGTGTTGTCTTTTTTTTTTCTGTCATAATGGCCACACCTTTCATTCTCATGTTATATACAGACTAGATTTTAATTATTTTAAAAAATGCTAAAATTTTTGTGCCTATTTTATTTTTATTATTTTATTTTATTTAGCTCTAACTCCTCCAGGGAGCCCTTTTTTTAGTGATATCCACCAAATTTGCTGTAGTTCTTCAGTCTGTTATAGCTCTGGGGTTTTTTTTAGTTTTCCTGTGATCAGATATTCTGAAATATTATGTCTCTGTTCTGACTTGATGTGCTTGCTTACTTCTAACTGTTTGGACTGAGGCTTTTCATGCAGCAGACAATCAAAAATATTCAAGAGTTATGAATGTTTTTGAGTCTGTTTCATAATGTTAATGATTTCACACTCTAGCAATCAAACACAAACAACCTTTATCCTGCTCTAACTAACTTATTAGTCTGCTTACTGCTATATAACCATTAAAATTAATGATTTTTTTTTTACCTTCAGATATGTCTTAAAGCCAACATTTTTGTCTTTATACCTTTTTCTGTTTGAGGTTTCAGTTTAATAGTTTAACAGTGTGCCTCATTTAGTTTAAGTAGGGCTTAATTGAAGTTTAAAACTTTAATTATATAGAATAGGATGAAACCAAGCCAAAATATTAGATTTTCAGTCAAGAAGTTAATTTGAAGCATTTAGATCCTTTGCTAGCTGAACATTCCTATACCAATTTGCAGCTCAGACTTAAACTTGAACTGATGAATGGAATGCAAAATTTAGCATGACTGCCACCTCTTTGGGTTCCTGTGTGATTTGACTTTGTAGTAAGAATTTTTCAGATGTGTAAAAGGTGACACTGATGTAAAGTCATGTCACCCTGCTAATGCGCTGTCATTCCAGTTAATTTCAGAAACCGCAGCTTGTTTCTGGGCTCTTTTGCGGATAATTTGTGTTGTTTATTTTTGCCAGCGGAGCACTTTGCTGCTGATGCAATGTTTGCATTAATGCAGGCTGACATTGTGCAAAGTGAAACGGAATTGATAACTCGCTTACCCCTCTTTTTGTGTCTGTTTTTCTCATTCATCCTAGGTGACGGAGCTAATGATGTTAGTATGATCCAAGTGGCTGATGTTGGGGTGGGGATCTCTGGACAGGAGGGCATGCAGGTAAGGAGAAACTGAAAAGATCAAGAGGAAGTAATGCTGATAAAGGTGTTTGAAAGGGGATGGTGGAGCCATACATTGTGGCCACACTTTACGCTCTGCCTTAAGTGTAAAGTACAAGAGGAATGAACATTGCAAAGCAGGACTGCAGAGTTAATGCACCAAGGCTCTGGATATACATAATTCATGTTTTATGAAGATGTTTTGGCCAAGATACGGAAGACAGCCTGTACTCAGACAGTTAATAAATGGTACCTTACACCAGTGGTTCAACAACCCAGTTATGAGTTGCAGTCTCTTCTGATAAGGTCAGCAACAGGGAAAACAACCCTAAATAGAAATAATTAAATGTTGTTAACCATATTATTGAGAATAGTTACATATTTTTGTGTTTTGTTTTACAGCATAAATTACACCGTTTGAACACACAATTTATAACCGTTTTTTTTTTTTTTATTAATGTACAGTGCTAAATAACTATCACAATATGATTTTATGTGCTTGACACATCTGACAAATGTTGTAGTCCTTATGTAATATTATTTTTAATAGTCTTTTGCTCAAGTCTTCATTTATTTTAGCAGAAATACAGTTAAAAACAGCAATATTTTTTCACTTTAAAATAACTGTTTTCTGTTTTAATATATTTTAAAATGTAATTTATTCTTGCTTAAGAAACATTTATAATCAATGTCGAAGACAGTTAACTGTTATTGACCGCTTCGTATTAACAACCCTAATGAGAATCTGTTTATGACTCTGTCCCATAGACCATAATATACCAAACATAGTAGGGTAACAACTGATCTCACCTGTTTTTTTATGCTTTCATGATGTGGAGAGAATGACAACAAGGATGGAGAACATAGCTGATGCCACTGTCAGGCCAATTGTAACTGATTCAAATCCCAAACGCCATTAGAGGCGACAAGGCGGTATCTGTCATACTGATAGATGACATGTTAACTGCCTGACGCATGCAGCTGTCGAAAACATATGATAAATAATAGATGGGTGATGGACGGGGGATCATTTTCACCAGATTTCAGTCAGGAAGGCTTTTCATAATTCTTTTATGCAAAAATGTCCTCAAGTGTTTTGTCACCAGGCTGATGTTAATCTTATGTCTTATGAATGTATATGGATGCCATGCCACCATGTTTGTGTGTCTCACTTGATAGATCTTGGGCCTCAAGGCAAATGTCGTCAAAATCCTGTTTATATGAATGTGGTTGAACGCTTTAACTCAATAGGCCATCATGTAACATTATAGGAAAGGAGTGCATTTTTTTTTTTTTTTTACCTTTTTGAGTATTTAACATATATATACTTTTGCACAAGCATAAAATAAAACCTATTTTTTTGCATCCTTAAAGCTTCGCCTATTCATGCACTAGTGTTGGTCCATTGCTTTGTGAAAATCATTTTAATTGCACAGAACTTGTATTAACATTTACTGTCTTCACTGTTCTGTTCACATTGTTTTCATAGGCAGTAATGGCCAGTGACTTTGCCCTGCCACGGTTTCGATACCTGCAGAAGCTGCTCTTGGTTCACGGCCATTGGTGTTACTCTCGTCTCGCCAACATGATCCTCTACTTCTTCTACAAAAATGCTGTGAGACCCTGAAGTCTGCTCATTTCTGATAATAGTTAGCATTATTATACAGGTTATTAACTACTGTAAAGGGACTTTGAAAAACAATATGGCAGGAATAATACATATATGTACAAAAATAATCTGTCAGACTGTGATCAGTGTTGTATCATACTGAATTAAGGTTTATTTTGTAGTAATGACAAGCTTTCTGGATATTATCCTGCTTACTGCATGGCTGAGAAATACATAAATAGGAATTAAATATTGATTTTGATTTGAAAATATTTGATTATTTGAAAGGTAGAATGAGTGCTACAAGTTAGTCACTTTTTTAATATCTTAAATCTTTGTCATCTGTATCATCCAGCACTAATCACAATTAGTAAAGTTCAAATGAACATTCTGATGTGTTCAAATTTTGTTTAACGTTTAATTGTTTAACATGACTTTTATACTGTTTAATCATTAAACATTAAATTAAACAATTACACCGTCCATGAACGGCATAAATTGAAATATAATTGTGACCGAAATTGCTTTTAAAAGTGTGATGTAAATGGTAAATAATAACCCATGAACCGCGTTTAATAATTAAATACGAGTTTGCATATTTGGTTTGTTAATGAATTGGTCTTTTGTTCTTTAAAACATAACTTATGTTCTCTAAAAATAGTAATGCTTTAAACCTACAGATACCCTGTATTTCAGCCATTATAAAAAAAAATGTTCTGCTCAATCTTCAGTCAAATAGAGTATTCCAGAGAGCCGTGTAATAATGCATCCAGTTTAACAGGTTGAAGTTTCATGATGTCAATAGTTTAAAGCTAGAAGCTCTTAAACGTTGTTGTCTGTTCTTCATACTCTTTGATTAATGAAGATCTATTCTTGGGGAGGTCCTAGAAACGTCTTGGACGTAATGAAGATGCATGACTTATAATGAGGCAACAGCTGCAGACCTCATTGTTTTGTTTTTTTCCCCTCTATTGTAATAATTTTAAGTTATAATAAAAATAAATATTATTCTTTCATTCATCCACTTATGGAAAAACTTATCCTGTATTTAATTTTTTATTATTAATAAATTTTTTATTGACATACAGTAATAATTTTAGTGGTTCAAGTCTTTAAAAGATCTTTTATATATAACTGCAGCAGTCCTGATACTGACTTTGTACTGCTATGGTATTTTATTATTTTCTTTAACATCTTTGTAGCTAACCCATTTTCTTCATATGTCGTTGTTGCTTAAACTTCCTCTAAAACAATCTGTTAGGGTGTCGCAATATGTACGAGAAAATATACATCATATATACATCTTGTTTACGATTCATCTGACAATGGTTAGGATTTGGAAATGATGAAGTGCTTTAGCTTTGCTGAAATCCAAAACCCATCTCACACACATGTACAAGGGGATAGAGAAAGCAAGCCTTTCCTTTCTTTCTCCAAGTACAAAATGAGGCTGAACTCTGTGGCGAGGAAGACCAGGATGATGCTGACACGACCAGAGACATTTATGCAGGGAGCCTCCATTATTGGTTTGAACCGGGAGATACTGCGCCATCAGGAGCCATACATCAGCCTGACAGCCCATGCAGGCAGCCTCAGTCCAGCCCACTGTGCTCGTCTCTCTCGCTCACCACGGTGGCGTACACATGGCCATCATTTTTTTTGGGGGGGGGGGGTGAGTATAGGAATTATGTGTATATTGTGTGTATATTGTTATTTATGGATCCAATGGTCTTGTCAATGTAAAACCCTTGAGTCCAACACAAATTTCCCCTTTGGGGACAATAAAGTGTATTTCAATTTCAACACACAGGGTGGCCAAAGCTCATAGTAGTATTATATTGCGAGTTGCATTTATGTATGCGTGCAGCCCTTACCTGATTCTCCTCTATTTTTCCCTCTTTTCTTGAGTCACTGTTTTAGATTTATGAGCGTGAATTGGATTAGAGCTTTTTCCATTACACCGGCGCTGTAAATTTTCAGCTGACAAGTTTCGGTGCGTGAAAAATGTCCTCTGCAGCCTCACTGTCTTTCCGGACATGATGATGGCTTCTGGTGTGAAAGAGGCTGTTCTTCACAGTAAATGGCTCAAGTAGAGAGTAAACGTTTCCAATAGTTGGGCTGGCAGCTTCATCGTTCCACGTGCTGCCTGGGAAAATGAACACACGTACTGTAGAGAGCGAGTGAACGCCTATTAGGTTATTTGAGGTGAGTGCAACGTTGAGGCCAAAGTACATGTGGAAGGTTGTCGCCCTATGCACATTCGAAGTGAAAATTAATTTCCATGCGCAGCCCATTTCAGTTCCAAAATGTGACTGACTGAGAAAAGCAGAATTGAAACAACAAGCTTTACTTTTGTTACAGCTTTGTACAGCAGAAAATCATAAACTTGGAGATGGAATTATGTAATAGAAATTACTAGAAACATGTTTGATTATTATTTTGAGTCATTGTAAAATATCTACTTCAGGCAATTTAGCAACTCTTTGTTAACCCTGCCTTGATTGTCTTTAATTATTTCACAGACGTGGATGAACTGGGTGTCGATTGGCTTCAGTATAGCTCTCTTCTTTACTGTGGCGCTGTGCTACAATGCTTCCTGCCCAACCTGTTTCTCTCCCTCCAACACTTATTGGACCATGCAGAGGCTGCTGGGAGAACCTATATTTTACCTGCTGTGTGTTGTCACACCTATTGCCGCTCTTCTTCCCAGGTATCTATAACTGTTATTAAACCCTGTTGGAAGTGTTTTATTTAAATTAAGTTAATTGAACCAAACATTTTTTACACAACGATGTATGCGTTATCATTCAAATGAGGAATATTTATGCCAATATATTTCTTTAAGTTGAATTTGTTGCAGTAATGTTTTGCAATTTAGTTCAAAGTGCTTTAGAATTTTGTGTAATTAAATCATTTCGTAATATGAATATGTAATTTAGCTAATATTTATGTTTCATTAACATAACCACAGTTTTAAAAAGTGCAGAAAACAATTTCCTATTAATTTATTTCATTTTCTCTGTAGTTTCAGATTTAATTTAGATTTTGAATCACAGATTTATAGCTTATATTATATTATAGTTAATAGTTCATTAATGAGCTGATAAATAATAAAATACAAAATTAAAGTAGATATTTATAAAGTATTTTAAAATAAATATTTTACTTTTCTTTTAAATAAAAATGAAATGTTAAAAATGTGAAATTATTGAAATATTAAAATCTCAAGGAAATTTATATTTTATTTCAAAAGGGTTTGGCTGACAAAAATTTTTTTAATTTCTTCATTTCTTCATTTTAAAACGTATATAACATTTTTATTAAATAAATATATATATTATATAACTTTTATAGTGTGTATATATATTTAGAAGTCATTAATGCAATGTTATTTTTGTGCTTTCTAAGATGTACAAATGCACATCAAATTGTTGGGACTGGTGTCTGCTGCCAGTTGCCATGTAACTGCAGTGCTCTTGGGAGTTTTAGTTTTTGCTGACTCTTTGTTGTTTTCATGTCTCAGATACTTTTATAGAGCTTGTCAGGGAACTCTATTCCCAAACCCTGTCCATGTGGGAAGACAACTGGACAAACTACCAATGGACATGCGCAGGATCTTCCTGAGTCAGAGCCAGATGAAGCTGGGCTCCCTCGGGTCACTGTTTCCCCCCCACGCCCCATTTTTCCCTCTCTGCAGGCCCTTTCAGAAAGACTACAGGCCCAGGGTAAAGCAAGCCCACATGAGTAGCACCAAAGAGAAGGAGAAAGCTATATCCAGCCCCATCCCATCAAAGAGCATGGAGATGCGGGACACACCTTTAAGCTCAAAAAACTCTGACAACCATATCACACTCCACTTCAGAATGCAGGAAAAAGTTCAGTCCTGCAGACAGGGCTCAGACAGCCCTCTATCGGAGAACTTGCACTGCGTGAAGGAACCTTTGAGTCCCGCTGCAGGCACTCTGCCGTACACCAAAGACACTCCAGCCTCCAGGACTATTTTGGATAGCACAGGCTTGGAGGCCCCACTGAGCCCGACAGACCTCTGTCAGATAGGGTTGCTCACCTCCACTCCCTTGCTTCCTCAAACAGAGACTATGCAGCTCACGATGCCACCCAGCTTTTTTGGGGGGCAAAAGCTGGAAGACGAAGACCAAAAGTCTCTACTGAAACAGGCCGGGGATGTGGATCACAACCAGTCAACTAGCTGCCTACAAGAACATTCACTCAAAACAACATTTCTATGATGCTTTCTACCTTACGCTGATTCAAATTTGCACGTTAGCTTTAGGAAATATTATATATTCAATATTATTTTATAAAGATATAGGTTGGTACTACATATCTATATATATATTTTTAGATGTATAAAGTTTAGAATTTTTTATTTTTTTGTTGAGAGAGAGTGGCCAGCATATGCAAACTGGATGGTCTTATGATTAATGACTGACTTTTTATTTTTGTTTTTTTAAAGCCATCTCAAAAGTGGAGGAGGTTTGTATCTCGAAGCAGAGGCAGTCCAGAGGCATTCCTTTATCTGTTCATTTGAACCTGGATGTTCTGGCGCACTTTAAAGACCTTCCTGTCCTACCATTAGACACTGCTGATAGCACTACACTTGTATTTCCCCATCCCAGAACGAAAAAAATCATGGTACCCTTCAATGTCAGTAGCTACAGGAATTTCGGTAACTCTTTACGAAAAGTGTACACGAGAAGTCCTGATCGAATAAAGGCATGAACTAATCAAGAACTAATCATGTGCGACAAGGGTCACTATAAACCGCTTTAACATCATGTTTGTACATATTTGTTGTAACACCTAACACCCAACTAAATCAAATGATTTCTATTACAAAGAATGTGAAGTGGCAAAACCTGCTCTGACTTTCATTTTTATGACTTCATTTTTTACGATTTTAATGCCTGAATAACTTTTGCTTCACGTTCACATCTGCTGTTACGTTAAGAACATTATTGGATAACCGCGCTTTATCATTTAAATGAATAATCCCATTTAAAATCTAATTAAGGTTTTTTGGCTACTTCAGATTCTTTGACATACAGCCAATCTAATGCATTAACAATCAAACATGTAGTTAAAGTGGCCATTAGTCACATGACTCCCTCTGATTCCAGTCATATCATGCTAGCGCTTAATTAGTTCTTGATAAGTCTGTGAGTTCATTCCCCATTAGTTCAAGTATTAGTACATGGTTTATGTACCCTATTTGTGAAGTATTAGTGGAATTCCTTAAATATTCCTTTAAGTGTTGTGTTTGTGTTGTTAGGTCCCCTGACGACTTTAGTGCTGAGCAAGAGATGCACTCTACATTTGTTGATGCTGTCCAAAGGACTATGCATGACACTTGTACTCTATTGCATTCCATTATTGAAGCTCTTAGACACCTACCAGATGTTAAAATGTCAGTATCTCACACCAACATCATTACTGACTTACTAGAGTGATGTCAAAAATGTCCTCTAGCGCAGTTGAGCTTTTCACGCATATACAGATGGTGCTTATGGCAGGTTCCAGCTCAAGTATTTGTCTTTTTCTTCACTTTTTGCTGCTGCTTTTGTTTCTACATGCATTCCTGCAGGATAGGATTTCACTTTTGCTTTTTTATATATAGTTCTATTCATTCTGTCATAGTGCAGAGTGTTTTAGGAAATAGAGGCTGATGCATCAAGCTAATTTAAGGATCCTGGGAGGTGGCCTGATTCAGTACATGTGCGAACAGAAGGCCACTTTTTGCTGTGTGCTTTAGGCCTTTTTACGACCTGATCTGTTGAGATATATATGCATCTTCCGCTATTTACTATGATTGTATTTTTCTACTGTTTACTCTATACATGATAATTGACCAAAGATGCAAGAAGCACATGACCGCCGAAGCATTTGTACTGTAACTGCTTGCTCAAGCTGATCACTTTATTAATTAGCAATTTAATTGGCTCAGGGCGGGCTACTCTGTTATTAAAGGGATTTTTTTTTTGATTGTTTACTCACTCTTGTTTCAGTCCAAATCTGTTTGAATTTCTTCTGTTTAACACAAAATAACTTTTTTTTTTTTTTTTTTGTCCAGTACAATTTGGACCCCAATGAGTTTCATTGCATGGACAAAAAAAATAGTTTTGGTGTTCCACAGAAGTCAGTCATATTGGTTTGGAATGTCATTGAGGGTGAGTACACAATAACAGAAATATCATTTTTGGCTGAACTATCTCTTTAAGTGTCTTCTTGCCCTCACCGCTCAAGTTTCTATTCCCAAACCGGTCCCATTTTATTTGTTTCATGACAGGAATCATGTCTTGTATGCATTCGTGTCTCACTCGTCCTCAGGAACACCAGCATTCGTTCAGGAAAACATTCCATTTTGATCAGTCTGTTCTAAGGGAATTAACGGTCTAGTCCGCGACTTTGTGACTTCTCATTGTTTTAAAGTTGTAATATGTGTAATGAACGGTTCTGACGAGCACATGGGTGGTTATCCGTTTGTTCCGCAATAGAATATTCCACGATTCCGCAAATGTCAGGGGTGTGGCGTATTCTAGAGTCCCCTAGAGAGATGCTAAAATAGTTTTTATGAGATGATTTGTCATGCTGTGCTCGCATAACCTCAAGGCCGCACCAATCTGTTCATTCGGGATCTCGTTTGGGCAGTCGCTATCAAAACCGCTGATTTATGAACCACCTAGCAGGGGGATTATGAGATATATTGTGCTCATTACACAAAGAATGGTGAGAACAGAATGTGCTCAGACCAAAAAAACAGGGGTGTTACATTAGAAAGCTTCTCGATTGTAGTTTCCTGTCATTCATGTTTTTTGAGGTGTAGCTAGAGGGTGATGCAGTATTAAGCTGGGTGTGAGTGGGGGGAAAAATGACTGATTCTCTCTGTATGTGTCTGGATACTACAGTAAAACCCTAAAGAAGCTAATATGAAGCACACAAGTACTTTGTCCCTACAGTTTTTCTTCTGCACAGCTCAGGTTCAGCGTTCGCCGCTTTAAGCAATATTTTCGTCTCGTTGAAAGTGTAATGTTTATAGCATCCGAAATTATTTTATTTTCGTAGTTTGATAAAGGCAACGTCTGTATGTGCCGAAGTGCTTTAGTGTACACAAGAAAACAGTTTTATACAATGTGGAATATATGTTATGTGCCTTAACACTGGAGAACGCAAATGTAGACGGCAATACATACAGTGAATTTTATATACGTGCAGTTTATGTAAAGGTATTTGGATTTATATTAATAAATGAGGTTTAAGAAAACAAAATCCTTTTGGTTATTAACAAATTGAAGAGATTGTGCTGTATTTTTTTTCCCGTACTATATTTGTTTGTTGATTTAGATTGGAATGTGCCAGTACTTGGATCCCAGGTTTCAGGTCTGTCAAGTTCTTGGCCAAGCATCACATGCTGTAATAGAATCCATTCACAGCTGTATTCCAGAGCCTTTCCTTAACTTCAGGGCAGATCACCAGCAGAAATGCCGTCCTTCAGAGTTTGTCATAGCACACATGTAAGCGTTGGGTGGACTTTTTGATACCCAGCATGACTTTTATCACTGTCACTGCCATGACTTTTTCTGGCTCGTACTGTAATTGGTGTTTGTTATAGTCACACAAAGGTTCAGTTTGTTCTCACTGTAGACTCACTACGTTGCCAGCCCTTCATGAAAACACCCGTTTCAAGTGGTTCTCTGACATTTTGGAGGGGTTTGTTCAATCGTTCAATCGTTTTGTGTTTGTTTCCTGACCAAGAACAGCTCTTTATGTCATAAAACTGAAATAAATGGTAAGAAAATGTTTCTTGTGCTCTCATTCTCTTGTTCGGTTTTCTTCCTGAGCACTTTAAAAGTACAAAGTAAGGAAAATTTAGTATTATTGCAGTACTATTGTAGTTTTTGATTAATGTTTTTCATTTCCATTTTCAATGTAAAAATAAATCCGTTATTTAATCCGGACATTTCTGTTAACTCAAAAACACAATGCAATGAAGTGTTAAATTCTAAATACTGGTAAAGCACCTGTAAAAAAATGAATACGGAAAAATTCCTTCAAATTATACAGTATATTGTGCCCTATTTTTACAAATTTTTTTGTTTAATTTTAGCTAAGGTTTTAACTATATAACTGTTATTTTTATTCGTTTTTTTTTATATATCTAGATAGTTTTTATTATTTCTTATTAGTTTTAATTTGTTATTTTAATGCATCACACATAGTAGTGCATAGTAAACTAAATGAAAATGAGAAATGCTGTCCTAGTAACTAGATTAAAAAACTAATGGATTTGCTTTATTTAAATTAATGTTTATTTTAAGTAACAAAATATATTTTTTATTATATAATTTAATAATCTATGGTTTTATTTAGTTATAATAACCCTGGGAATAGGCCAAATTTAAGTCATTATTCACGAAAAAGTCTTCTCTTATGTTGTATAGCTGCCAAAACTTCACACATTTATTCGAATGGTGTGGCAAAGCAGATTTATTATTCTCATGATGAGACTCATTGACATCTGTTGCATTTTGATGCACCATGTTGAATCGAATCTGATCATTTTAATTGATCATTTTGGTGCTTGACAGTCTTGGTGCCCATTGTTTTCTGTCGTATAGAAAAGAGCAGACATTCTGCAAAATAAGTCATATGGGTTTGGAACAAGTGCGTAAATGATTTATTATTTTTGGCTGAGCTATTCCTCTCAGCCCTGAATCGCCCTAAAACACCTCAGAGACTCTTTTTTTTTTCACTGGTATTCCAGCACATTGTAATTGCTCCCTCACAATAGGATCTGCAGGATGGCTATTGCACGTGACAACTGAGTAGATGCATTCACCTCAGGGAACAGCTGGAGACATTTCCCTTGGGAATGATACACAACTAGCAGTGGCTGGAAGCATCTGTCAGCTAAAGAAGTGCTTGGTCACCCAAAGGCATGATGGCGTTTTGTGATTTATTTATTTTTTAATGCCTTTTATCTGGTGTTACACAATGGCTGAGTTATGACACGTGATGTTCACCCAGCGTATCAAGGCTTGATAGACAACACCCAATATATCTCTTTTTTTTATCTAATTTTAATATTTGTAGAATTAGCCACACCTACATCCAAGCTGTTTGTGGTTTGTTTGTTTTTTTGTTTTTTGTTTTGTGGTTTTTTTTTTTTTTTTTTTTTTTTTTTTTTTTTTTTTTTTTTTTTTTGGGTTTTTTTTTTTTTTTTTTTTTTTTTTTTTTTTATAGTTTGGTTTATTTTGGG